GTGACCGATTGGAAGAACAACTTTGTGACCGTCTCATTGCTGGAATCAACATCTCATTACAACGTTAGATGTTGGAAAAGAAAGATATCACGTTTGCTGAGGCTCGAAAAATCTGTGAGCAAAGTGACGATTTGTGTCCTGCCACAAATGCCGATACTACTGTGTTATTCCATCGGCGATCAAAAAAATCCTTACGTGACGCACCCAATGTTCATAATTCACCGCAGGTTCCTCCAGTACCCAGTTCAAGCCAAACACAACCGAAGGCTGCCACCAACCGTTGCTTTCCATGTAATGAATACCATCTTCGTTCGACTTGTCGATTCCGTAATACCACTTGCCATGCATGCGGTGAGATGGGCCACATCCGCAAGGTATGCCGAATGCCCAAGTGCAACCTCATAGAATCTCATATCCAACGGCAGATGAGAACTCAAGCCCAATCTACACGCTGCAGACCACTGAACCCAAAGGCCAGTTCGTGTTCGCCCCACTGAGGTTCGAGTCTGGTGTGGAGCATCGATTCATCATGGACACAGGAAGCAGCAAATCTATCCTACCGAAATCAGCACTCACAGCGATTTGTCCTAATGCTGTTCTAGCCCCGACTTCTGTGTACATTCATGGGGTTACTGGCCATCAGTTGCAATTACTTGGCGAAACGATGCTGTGCGTTCAATCTGAATCCGGTGTGTCAATCCCGATTCGATTCCTGGTATCAGCCCACAGTCCGTCTATTCTTGGCCTTCGAGCAATGCGGCTACTACAAGGATCCATCACACTACACACCAACAACGATATGACAATCACCTCACATCTTCAACATTTGATTGTACAGTGTTCCGGTAACCTTAGTGGCATGAAAGTATCGTCGGCAAAGTTGGAAGTGAACGGTGAACCTATTTTCCTAAAACAACGTGTCCTCCCATACGGTCAACGGGAAGGTGTCTTGAAAGTATTACAGAAAATGGAGCAGGATGGTGTGATAAGCAAAGTTGAATCCAGTGCCTGGGATACTGTGGTGATTGTGTAACGAGTACGCACGCACCGTGGTACAGTTTCCAGGTAACCAATCAAGAAGCGGGAT